ATTGGCCACTGCTGGTTCTGCAGCCATTGACATTGCTTGCTGAACACTTAAATTGTCGGGTTCAATGTTTGCTGAAAGCTGGTCCTGCAGTGCTGTTTGAGTTCCTCTTAAACCCTCCACCTCCCCCAGCACCACCTGTCTAGATCTGCTACGGGATTTATGTATGCATATTCATGCAGCAGCAGCAGCATTATGTCTTACATGCTTTCAGCAGCATGTCTGAGTATCTGTTGGCATTAGCAAGTCCGTACTTGCTCTGCAGCAGCATCGTATAGCAAATCTAGTGCACCAAGGCCAAATACATTAACATTGTCTTATACATTACCATGTCTAAACTATTGAGTTGTGATGATTGATTGAGTCTACCTTTTATATTTGAACTATCTTTGTTTTGCTTAATGCTTTTGTCTCTTTTACAGAAAGATGAGGAGAAGCGTCTTCAGGAGGAGAAGAGAAGGGCAGCAGAAGAGAGGCAGTGGCTAGAGAAAGACAGGAAGGACCGAGATGTTAAGGAGGCGGAGTTACGGGAAAAGAGAGCAAAAGAGAGGGCATCACAGATAGATGAACAGAGGTCAGAAACATTTAAACAAATAAACACCTTGGGCATTGAGTGTCCTTAAAGGGATTGTCCAACCAAAAATGAAAATTCTGTCATCATTTACTCACTCTCTTGTCGCTCCAAACCTGTATGGCTTTCTTTGTTCTGTGGAACACTTTAGAAGAATGTTGGTGACCAATAAGTTTTGGTTCCTTCCATTGACAAAAAATTGAATTCCATTGACCTGAAACTGTTTGGTTACCAACATTTTTCTTAAATATCTTCTTCTGTGTTTGTTCTGCAGAATGACATAAAGGTGAGTAAGTAAATGATGAATTTTCATTTTTAGATGGACTATCTGTGAGATCACCAAGGGTCAGACTGTCATTTTTATAATTAGATTTAAGCCATGTTGCATTTTGATGTAAGGTCATTGGCCAACTGGATAGCACCTGCCGAGTGTTAATTTTAAACCTCATGTGTTTGTGTTATAGGAAGTACCAGCAGCAGCAGGAGGCGGAAAATCGAGGCCAGCAGAAACAGCAATGGGTGAGTGACTCGCACACACACACACACACACACCTGCGCAGTTATTTAAGTCCACATATCGCCACTCTGGGCATGTTCTGACATGGTTCCTATAGAGAAGCCACAATATGTTTAAAGCCTTCATAGCAGCACAAAAACACACTCATCTTTTTTTGTCTCTTCTAAGTTGCGAACATGTTCATGTAAATTTGGTAAAATATCAAGAGACTGTTGAAAGAGAATTACTTATGAAGCTTTTGAAAACACTTTTAAACATTAAAATTAAAATCTCATCCACGTTGCAATTTATTTGGCTACAAATCACCCATTTAGACAGGAAGAGAATGTTTGATCAATTGTAAAGCATTTTTTCAGATGTTAATGGCAGATCATTCTGAAATCATAATGTTTCATCACTCTCACAAGCAGTCTGATGCACTTGTAGCCTCTTAAATATATCTACATTGGTATAAACACTGTAGCAAATCTATATCGTTTGACACAGTTCATCTATCACATGTCATTATTGCCCAATGCTAATGTGTGTACAATGGCAACAAAGACTTCCCTTTTTCTAGCATAGTGTGGTTGTTTGAGCACACTGTTCTTTAATTATCATCTTAACACTTCTATCTTCACACAGATAATCTTTAAACCAAATTTCCAAAATAAACTCTCCACAGCCCTGTGACACAAATAAGTAAAATAAATGAGACAATCTGTGGTTTTGTATTTAGGCCATATGCACAGGGGACACTGCCACACACATACAGCTCACAAGGGTCTCAGGGCCCGATCTGCAAGGGCCATAGCTGATTAATTCAGAGATCGTGGTTGTGCTTACCAGCCCACCTTAACAGCATGCTCTGTGGCTTGGCATCTCAACAGGTTTTGATACACAGCCCTCATTTATGAGATGAACCTTGTGAACTGTGTATTTAAGCAGCTGCCTTCTAACTCAAATTATACTTTATAATTGAACAAGTTGAAACGATCAACATAGGCAGCAATGCATGTGCATCATACAAGTAACACTCCTCATGAGAAGTGCACTGGAGACTCGACTCTGGTGTTAGCATGTTGCTGAACTAACAGCGAAATAATGTAGAGTGCAACACTTTAGAGTGCAACAGTCAGTTCCGGAAGTCAAAAGCCCATTTTCTCCTTAAGGGAACTGGTTTTTAAGCTAACTTATAAAACTTTAAAGCAAGACCTACTGTGAGCTCTGAGGTTGTTAATTGATTGTATTTGCTTTTGTTGAAGCCATCAGCATCCATTATTTCAACTTCTTTTTTAAATAATTAATTCTGTATATCCATGGAATTCATGGTGAAAAACTACATTACTCAGTCCCTCCAGGATTGTGCTACTTAACACAAAATCAAGCAAACTCTGCAATATTCGTTGGAGCTTGCAATTTTTCTAAATTGCCTCAGATTTTCTGCAGATTTTGGGTTTAGACGCGTTGTGTGACTACAGGTGCATCTCAATAAATTAGAATGTCGTGGAAAAGTTCATTTATTTCAGTAATTCAACTCAAATTGTGAAACTCGTGTATTAAATAAATTCAATGCACACAGACTGA